GCTGTGAAAAATTCTTACTGAAAACCCACACTTAGTAAAGAAATCCACAACTATGTATAGGCCCCATCTTTGTAGAATAACTGTCCTGCTTTGACAAGATGATTTCCAGCCCTGAGATCCTATGATATTCATCACTCCTTTCTAACTCAAAAAAGTCACAAAAGTGATTCTCATCAATTACAGAATAGGAAATTAAGTCCTTTTCCTCCATAACATGGATCTCTGTGTGTCCCTTTGGACTAAGTGACTGTTTAGCTTTCTTAGTGATGGGTCTTGTTTAAACACATACATACATACATACATACATACGTACATGTACACACACACACACAATCACAAGAGACTTTAAGTAGTAGAAAATTCTACGCTCAAGTAAAAATAAATTTTGTCAGAGTCTAACTTCTTTGCATTAAGGAACAATAATGTATCTCTGCAGACTTCACCGCTAGATTTTACTTCACTTATTAGTGGTAGGTCATTACATTTACGGAAGAGATACCATCTGCAACTTGTAAAGACTGCCATTTTACTTCAAGAATACATCAAACCACAAAATTGAATTTAAGAAATATCTTCATAGCCTGGCTGGTGTTTCTCAGTGGTTGAACACTGACCCAGGAACCAAGAAGTCGCTGGTTGGATTCCTGGTCAGGGCACACACCAGTGTTGCAGGCTCGATCCCCAGTACGGATCCTGCAGGAGGCACCGATTGATGATGCTCCTCTCTCATCAATGTTTCTATCTCTTTATTCCTTTCCCTTCCTCTCTCTCTAAAAGTCAATAAAAACATATTTAAAAAAAATAAAAGACATCTTCATAGCCTTTATTAGTGTAGCAAATATAATCAAAGTCAGTTAAAAGTGTAATGGAACATGCAGAAACATGAAATACCAAGTGGTTAACTAGAAACAACTGCTCATGTTAGGTGCAAATAATTTGGTATAACCTTCATTTTTGAAGAAACAGAACTAATGACCCTGTTAGAAAAGTCTGCACTTCCAGTTGTCCTACCCAGCACTACTGATGGATCTGAGTCCAGCCTCTCATGTGATTAAACGTTAGGTGGTCTGGCCAATGTAGCCTGTGAACACCAGGAAGCATATTGATATCTTTAGTGCCACCCCAGGAGTGGAATCAGATTCTAAAGAGAAGCAGAAAGCATGGTTTTGAAGAACACAGGTTCAAGTCAGACCGGTTTGGATGGAAGTTTTGCCTCTGACGATGACTAGCTGGGTAATCTGGCAAATTATTTTCTCTCTCTGAGCCCATTTGGTCAAGTACATACAGGAAATAAAAGATAAGAGACGTGAGAATTCACATACACTCATATATTCACGCAAATAAATTATCTGCCACAGTATCTGGTATTCAGTAAGGCTCAATAAATAGAATATTATAACTTAATTATTACAAAGACTGCCCAAAAGAGAGACCATACCCAAAATTTGACCCTAATTAGTACTATCTTAAGCACAAATATTTCTAAATACATAAAGGGCATAATTCAAAATGACAATTTCAGAGACCTAAATGGGCTAGGTACTTTTAATCTAATAAATTTATTTTAATACCCAAATCTGAACTGTCTAAATGTTATAAGGCTCTTCAAGTAGAAGGTCCTCACTCGCAGCTCCCATACCCAACAACAGATCTCAGTATTAAGAAGTGTACAAACTCAAATGAGAAATGAGGCCAGACCTTTGTGCAATCCAGTCATTCATGCACTGCTCTATATAAAGAAAACAGTCTAAAAACTATCAAGAATTTGAATTCAAACACTAAAGTGATGCATCACCAATAAAAAATTCTAACGTTGAGGTTAAGCTTGAAAGTAAATTGGAAAAGCTTCCCAAATGAAAAGTTCAAATGTGGTCTTTCAACTGCATTATTTTCATACATTGAAATATGTGTTCCAACTGACACCATCATCAGATGATGAAGAACCTTCGAGATTCTCCTCTTCTACCAAGAAATTTGATACTGCCCCCCAAAAATTAAAACTTTATAATCTAAAATTATAAAATCCTGAGGAAACAGCCTTTTCTACTTAAAAAGCAACTTAATAGTAACTTCAAATGTTGCTGTTCCTGTACCAAAGTTAAGGGTTACCTAAAGGATTTCCCTCGCATTTTGGATCTATGCATGTGAATTCATTTGTTCTTAAATACCTTCTGCTATTATTTGACATCAATTCGTTACATGAAAAAGTCATATCCCTGCACTGTCAAAAATAAAGTACTAAATCAGCACACCTTCTAATAGCTAGAAGAAACAAAGCAGATAATCACCAAAGTTATTAAAATGGAAGGGAGAAAAGATATTTTCAACAGACACAGTGAAGAAGGCTTATTTTCTCTACTCACCTTCTTAAAATTTCCTACAGTCATATTCTCAAATATAACTGAATTTTCTATCACAAAGTAAATTGAAACATAAATCATAATGAAAGGTTAAATTCCTGCAACAGAAGCCACTGTCATTTCCAACAATGCAACTATTGTTGAAAGTCTCTCACAGATTCTTGGACACAGTGGTGAAGCAAGGGTGGGGGGGGGTAAAAGCATACTTGAAGTAAATTTCTCCACCTCTGTATTTCAGTTTGTAATGTAACAATACCGCACCTTCAAAATAGAAATACCACACAAAATTTGGTTCTCATTAAATGAGACTGCCTTAGCCCTATGCAGCATATTTAGAACAGAATACATCTGATTCAAAATCAGTCAACCTTCTATTACTCATCTATGTGAGATGGCCCGGCAATTTCCCTCAATGGGAGCCTTTTCTTTAAGAACCCTAGGGCACAGTGTAGATGCCACACTCTGGTTTAAATAACTCCAAGAAAATTACAATGAAAATAATGGCAGATTTAGCCCAGGGAACTTGAATAAGTAAAAATCAAAAACCTGAGATAAAGGGGTAAAAAAATCCCTACCCCAAACCACTAAATCATGAATAAATTATAAATCTGAGCAGGAATAAAAAGAAATCCTCTCTGGAGAAAGAATGCTTATTTCTAGTTTTATTTTTAAAACAATTGGGTTTAGGAAACATACTAAATAAGCAAACAAAATATTAAACATATATATATATCAAATTAATCATATCAAATTAATCATTGCATTATGTTAAAAAAGACAAAACAATTCAAAAGGATTTGATGCTCCTGTCAACTGAAGACCCACCAACTCCTTTGAAATGGTCGATTATTTAACATTCTTGGAATGATTAACTTTATTTAGTATGCATCTTTTGGAGTTCTATTATTTAATACATCCAAACTGATTTTTTTTTACCCTAATTAGGTTTCCTTGTACTTGCGAAATGCTCAGCATACACACTGTACCGGCATCTTTAGTTCTACAGCTTCTCTCTTCTAGCTCCTTCCGCCTTCATCCTCCACCCCTCCAACCTTTCCTCCACCCCCCAACCCCGAAAAGAAAAGATATCCTTCCCAAATGTTCTCTACATTTGTCAACAGAAACACCCACTGGTGGTGTCAAACTGGTAATACTGCTGCAGGCTTCCTTACTCCTGTTCCAGTGTCAACGCCAAAAATGCTCAAACCTAAAATAGTATTTTTAATAAAGAAATTAAAAGCATTGCTAAGGTACTCAACGATCATGTTCCCAAAAAGGCACACACCTTTTAAACATGTATTAACAAACTCTAATTGGGTTGTTAAATATAAGATTATACTACCCCCCTTCAACACTAAACATAGAGACAAGTAAACATACCTTCTTCACATTTTATGAATAAATCTTAAAACCCTTAAAGGAATTAAAAACAAATTTACATCTAAATGTCATTCACATATAGTTCCGAATTGCCTCGGTAAAGATGCCTTTTTTGTAACCCTACAGCAAGAAAGGAACAAGCTGGAAATGTTCCAGCAGATGTTACCTAAAACGAGAACCCTATTCGATACATATTTATGTCTCCTGCTTCAGTCAAATCTCTCAAACAAATTAATCTGTGTAAGCTTTCACATTAACTACATAATCATTATGTCCCAACAAACCTAATTCAGATGCACGGAAAGAAATTATTCTGTGTCTGCGAGACTTTCCAAAATCAGCTTACATTTCAGCCAATTAAAATAGATTGTGTTAAACAGAACACTGAGCTGCAACTGCTTAAATATCACAGCGTCCGTCTAATCTAAGATACTAGGGTTAGGTTTTTCTTATTCAGGCATCTGTGCTTTAACACTCAAGTGAAGCGAAAAACAAAACGCTCAAGGAAGATCTGCCTTTACACTGAAATATGTTCAGGTTATTTTTTCCCCCAACGTGGGCACAAGACGAGTCAATGCGAGCAGGACCTGTTCGTTCTGGGAGATTATTCCAAACCCCAGCATTTAATTTCTATGAGGGTACAAAGGGTACGAAGATCTGGGAAAGGGCCAATTTTGCTTCCCCCCCACCCCCAACCCAATATGCCAGTCGTGAACTTCATAGCAACGCGTGAAACTTGTTCGGGGGAGGCTAATGGAGACGCGGGGCAGGCGGTGGGTCTCTCGCCCACCCTTTCGGGCAGCCAAGGTCAGCGGGTCCCGGGCTAGCTCGGAACTCTGGCGGGGGCTCCGGTGCGCAGGCTCCTCCTTGGCGCCCGCGGAAGGGGCTTCCCTCGCCGCAAGCCCGAGGGAGCTAGCGCCGCGGGGGCGGCGGGGGCGCCGTAGACCGGCCGCTGAGGGGAGCCCCGGGGGGCGGCCTCGACTCGTCGCCCCTCCTCACACCCTCTCGTCTCCTCACCCCAAAATACAGCCCCAGAGCCTCGGCGGGGAATCCCTTCCGGGGGTGCGATGGAGCGCTGAGAAGGGGCCACTCCAGACTGGGGCGCCCTCGCCGAGTCGCCCTGTCCAGGGGGTACCCGCGCCGCCGCCCCTTCTCACGCCTGCCCGGGAGGACCGGGTGGGTCCCCTCTCTAGGGAGAAGTTGGGTGGGCGCGGGCCGATGCATGGACAAGGGCGGGCGGGTGGCGGCGCGACTACTCACCCGGCAAGTCCCCCACCTCCAGCCAGAGACCCAAGAGCTCCTGAGGCCACAGGCGCCGCTTTACCTTCCCCAGCGGCAGCGACAACTAATCGAAACCTCCAGCCCCGCCCTCTCGCAGTAGCGAACGCGCAGCCTAATTTGCTAACTGCCCCGCCCCAGCCGTCCATTCGGGCAAATGGGGAAGCTCCTCAGACCCAGCCAGGTCCCGCCTCAGTCCTCGCCTACTTCTCACAGGAGCCAATGCGGAGAGCGCGCTCGTGCTCGCGCTCGTGCTCGCGCGCCCCGCCCGCTCCGCTCGGGCTCGGGTCCTCGAAGCCGAAGACCGCGGGTTCCTTGTGGAAGCTCGCCTGCGCGCGCACGCGCGCCGCGCCTCCTCGCGCGCCCGTTCTGCTGCCCCGCCGGGCCCTAGCAACCTGCGCTGGGTGGCTGCGAGGGGCGGGGCCCGAGCCGCGAGCTGTTGGGGAGGGAGGGATGCGGTAGGGGGGGAAGATCGTGACTGGGAAAGGGGCGGCTGCGGGGGTGGAGGGCCGAGGAGGCCCGGGAATCCGCCTGTCACTGCGGAAAAAAAGGGGAATCCTGCCTGCAACGCAGCTATCCTGGCCTCCCTCCGGAGGGACACGTGTGGGGGGACGGGGGTCCGGGAAAATCGGGGACAGCACATTTGCAGCGGGAACCGAGGCACTGCTTGAAAATAAAGGATAAAAGACGGTTTATCCCTGTCGTTGGTTTAAAATAATATCGAAGTCCATTGCTGCTGTTGTCCAACTGTTGCAGCGACGCGTGCACACACACACACACACACACACACACACACACACACTCACACATACACTCATCCATCAGCCTGTGATCCCTCGGGTGAATTAGGAGCAAAAAACGAGTAACCTGAGGATTCCTTACACAGCAGCTGGATGCATGCAAAGGGCTGTTGTTGCAGCAGCAGCAGCAGCAACCCACAGCTCCGCTTCGGTCTAATGCTCCACCACACAAGATTCCCCAGCTGGCATGAAAGCAATGAAGTCATCGCCCAGCCAGTAGAGATGTAAAGATCTTAATACCTACCATGGATCAGGTTTCCAATGAGGATGAAGAGGTGATGAAATGGAAGGAGATACATTTCCAATGCCACTTTTTGAAAATTAATAATAATTTTTAAAAGACATCAGGGGCAAATTTATGTAAAGCTGCATAATAATTTCCACTTTAAAAAGCAAAGAAGAAAAATAGTTTGTGTGTTGTTGTGCTGTTTGTTTTTTCAGAAAAGCACAGAATACAAGCAATATATGAGGTCATAGCAACCACCAAATTAGAAATATGCAGTACTGTATTGTAATGGGAAATAGATATCTTGAATAAAATTCACTTAATCTATTCCTGTCATGAATCTGGTAACAATATGTAACAATATGCTGGGTTTGGCCACTCTGCACCAAGCCAAGAGGGTTTTCTTTTTCATAACATGGTGAATATTTGATGAGGAAATAAAGGTGCCTGCTTTCTCCTCAGCTTTTCAGGAAGCATATTGGAAAATTTTACAGGTAGGAACAGTGAATTAGCAGTGAGGGAAAATGGAGTCAGAGGCAGCAGCAGAGCTTTTCAAAGTCTACTGCCTCCTCCAGATGCAAAGTAAAGGTGCTGTGACCTCAAGCTTCACCCACATGGAGCCAGAATTCCTGAGGCAATCACTCCATTTTCATCCCTGTATATAAAATGACGAATGGTTTATCTGTATAGAATCAGAACAAGTTAAGGAAAAATCAATAACCAAATACTCATTGATATAGGTCCAATTTAGTTTTAAGTGGTAATATTAGATGCTTTATAATGTGCCATCCCTAATACACAAATATAACCTTCTACTTAGGAATGTATGTTTTATTTTGGTTTTGAATAGCAGTGAAGAGTTTCTTGGAGCCACATCCAGGTCAGTTAACTGCAATTTTGATCAAAATTATATCTTTTCTAGAAGGTTAGTAAGAGATAAGAAGTACTGTGCTGCCATTTAACTGAGCTCTTTTCTTATGTAGGAGGAACACTAATATCACTGAATGAATGCCTGCTACGTGTCAAGAATGTTACTTACATTTAGTGTTGCCAGATAAAATACAGGAAGCCCATTAAATTTGAATTTCAGATAAACAATGAATAAAATTTTTAGTATAAGTATGTGTTTTTATCCTGGATACATGTGGGAGAAGGGTAGAAGACTAAAAATGCTTTCTAATCATTGCAAAAATATTTTTTTGAAATACCCCTCTAGGTTCAGATCTCATAATGCAATCAGGATCTAGGAGAAAAGCTTAAGACCCAAATGAATGTGTAAATTTCTAGTGTTTGTATAAAGAGGTGCACATACTTATAATAAAAAAATTATTTGCTGTTTATCTGAAATTCAAATTTCACTGGGCATCCTCTATTTTTATATGCTAGTTCTGGCAACCCTACGTACATTATTGCGAAAGTCATGATTTTCTGCAAAATTCTTTGTTCAGTCACAATTTTCTAAATGAACAAACAATTTCAGAGCCTCCCCACCATCTATTTGCTCCTTCTTCCTTCTAATAAAGCTAAAACTGTGTTCACACTTCCAGAGTGGTAGGTGCTGATTAGTCTTAGTTACTCTATGTGTGGCCCAATTAGACAAAGGAGAGGACTTAATATCCTATGGTTTGAGAGAGAGGTTTTCCCTGTCTATCCGGTTAGATGAAAAAGGAAGCAAGTACCCTGGCTGCCACTGGCAGCTTTTTTATGACTAGGAGGAAAACCAGCCTTAGGTCAAAGTCTATACACTCAGTAAGGCAGAGTTGAAAAGTAGAAAGAAAGAAAGAAAAAAACTAGCTGGGTTCATGATTACATCACTGAGTTGCTTAAACAAATTCTGCCTTTTCCTTGGTTTAAAACAGTTTGAGTCAGAGTTTCTATTAGATGCCTCAGAAGCATCCTGCTACAGATGCGTTCTACTCATAGGAGGTCCAATGATAAATAAACAGGTGGACATCAAGATGTATGACATTTTTATCCTGAATATATGTGGGACAAGTCAATAAGCCTTCTAAGCAATGGCAAAAAGCATTTATGCAATGCCCATCTGGGCCTAGACCTCAAAATGCAATCAAGATATCTAGAAGAAAAGCTTAAGAATCAAATCATTGTGTAAATTTACAGTGTTTGTAGAAAAAAGGTGAGCATTAGTTATTCCTTGGCCCTTCTCAGAGTTTAAATCAGATTGTCAGATCTCACATGTTTTTATTAAAGTTCATACCATTTGGGAAAATGTCATTTGAGAAATATTAAATCCATTTAATAGTTTAAGTCATTTTAAACTATTAAAACCTCTATCCCTGTCCTCCAGGCACTAAGTTTAACCACAAATAGTGTAGAAAGAACAGAAATGTCAGCCTCTAAAGACCCAAAAGGGAGAACCACACCAGAATAAAATGCCATATGAAAGTGGATGGTTGGTAAGGCAGTATAGCTTAGTGCAGTGATGGCAAACCTTTTGAGCTCGGCGTGTCAGCATTTTGAAAAACCCTAACTTAACTCTGGTGCCGTGTCACATATAGAAACTTTTTGATATTTGCAACCATAGTAAAACAAAGACTTATATATTTGATATTTATTTTATATATTTAAATGCCATTTAACAAAGAAAAATCAACCAAAAAAGTGAGTTCACGTGTCACCTCTGACACGCGTGTCATAGGTTCGCCATCACTGGCTTAGTGGCTACAACCATAGACTCAGGAGCCAGATCACTCACATTCAAATGCCACCTCTAGTTATATCCTTTGGGAAATCGCTCAATTGCTCCTCTGTAAAATGGTGATAATAACAGTGCTCACCTCATAGGTCTGTCTAGATGAGTGACTATTTTTGAAATGCTTAGCAGAGTACCTAGCCCATGGTAAGGACTTTACAAGGATTAGCTGTTATTGAGCAGGCTCAGTTCCATGGACTATAAACTGAAGCAGTTTCTTTTTCTTCATTCACTACTTTGAACCATATTTTTATGGCAAATTTGCCTTTCATGTCCCTTCACATCTTGGACAGTTTTAACAACTCTTAGGTCTTCTTCAAATATTAAAAATCAAAGCAGTTTAAAACTCAAATGTTGTGTTTGACTAAATTCCATCCCCTCCTACAACCACCCTTTCCACCATCATCATCTGCCAGGCTTGTGACTCAAGGCACCTGAAATGACCATTTTCAATCCACCAGGGTGGCTGTGGACTCTCTGGTCTACCTTAGTCTAGTATACCCAGATCATCTGAGATCAGCGGTATCCAGGGAGCTGGAATGTGGCAGTGCTAATGGATGCTGTTACTGATGTACAAGGTCTTTTTATTTCAAGAGGAATAGCTAATAAGATAATGGAGATGTGCTGTCTTTGGCTTTGTAATAAGTGAGCCAGCTAATTTTATAGATAACAGCAGGAAAATAACAGCGAGAATCGGGGCACATAATGGAGGGTAATTCTAGCATCTTTCCATCTGGCCTAAATAATTTAATAGTTCTGTACACCCTGACCTGATGATTTTAGGTATAAAGGCAATACTAATATCCAGTTCTTCTTCCTCCCCAACACAATAAATTATGAAAGAGGTTTAAAGCCAGGGAATATGTCAAAAATACTCGTTGCTTCAGATACCTGTTTCAATGAACCTTCATAATTCTACATAATTTTTAAATGCCAATAAATTAATTTTTCATGTGCTAATGTCTTAATCCAGATGAAACAAATTTCCCTAGTTAAACAGCAGTCTATTGATTTTTCTTTAGAAATATTATTAATCAACATTTGTTGAGTGCTTACTGTGTTCCCGGCATGATGCTGAACATTTTGCATTTAATCTTTGCAATACCCCTAGGAAGTCATGTAGTGGTTTTAAGATATCACCACAAAATTTTCTCCCTCCTCCTCCTTTCAAAAGATAGCTAAAATCTCCTCCCCTTGAGTGTGGGCTACACTTAGTGACTCACTTCTAACAAATAAAATATGGCAGAAGTGATGGTCATAGGTGGTCATGACATGAGACTAGGTCTTACAAAGTGTGATGGCTTCCTT